GCGGAAAAATGTGATCTTGTTAAAAAGTCATTGCACTATCGACCTGTGGGAGACTGGCACGGAAATTCGATGAAGGGGAAAGAGAGAGGAAATATTTATTTCCCATCTTTCCTTGTTGTGCGCATATCCTATGCGCTTCCTCCATTAATATTTAATAAAAGAGAGAGACAAACGAGGCGAATGGGACTGGTAATCAGTCCCTCCACCAGATTTCACATTCAGCGTTCCCATCAGTCCCCCTGTTAACTATTTAACCGAGGTGTTCAAAAACACAAGCAAATGGAGCTGTTAGTCTCGAATCTCCAAGAGTTTGCTTAACGTTTATTCCTCGGACAAACAGTCACAACATTTGCTCTGAGGTTTTTTTGAGCCCATGTTGTTGTTGCGCGCGCGTTCATGCCCGCACAAAAAAAGGCGGTTATTATGAGTCATCGTGTTAATTTTGCGACGTATGACTTTCGTCTGGGATGTCGTTCGTCATTAAATGGAAACACGGTCAAGGATGTACAAAATGACCACTTAATTTAACAAAATTTTTTTATCACCTGTTTAAGTTCTTAAACACCTCTAACTTTTTTACTAAACTTACAAAACAGTTAGTAAATCAACAGCGCATTGGTACTTATAAGTTGTATGCTTCCAGTGAAACAAAAGTAGCAACCCTAGCTTTGAATTCAGTTTTGAAAGCAAGGACCAACGTTACAAAATAGAGAAGCACCGGATCCTAATAGAGGATCTAATCAGCTATAAATTAAAATATCTGAACAACGGAAAGAAGCAAGGTTGATTTCAAAGTTGCAATACTTTGCTTAGCTTTCCAAATTTTTCTCGTTTGACCGCTGTGGAGGCTTGTCCACAGTGGTCCCCTCCCCGTCATTCATACGCGGTCGCGAATCGGCCGTGGGAGATTGGCACTGGAACTCGACAAAATGTGATTGCCAAAGGTCATTGTCTAATTGATTAGGTCATGGTCTAATCGTCTGCCCGCTTCTTTCTTCCCAGCTGTTCCGCGTGTATGCGCGCGCTTCTCTCTTTAATATTTAAACTCTCTCACAGGGAGCTTGGGAGAGACTAGCGAGACGACTGGGAACGGAGGAATCTACCAGATTTTACATCCAGCGTTCCATCCCATCATTCCTCCTGTTAACAAAAGAGATTGAGCTGATTCGGCCCCTGCTGTTAATTATTTCACTGAGGCGGAGGGGAACACTAACAACAAGTCCTGACAGGATCAGGTTAAAATTGCAGCAGGTCATGTTTTGTTGTTATTATGTGACTCATTACTGGAAAGTGAAAGCCACATTGTCCAACTGACGAACAGTTACGGTGTTTAGATTTTCTATTTAGTAGACTTTCAGATATTTCGAGCAACAGCAATTTGCCGTCTGTCCTCACTAAATAACTAACCCTGTTCACTAAGTAGCCTCTTCTCTTGAACAAAGTTATTTGATGAGCGCTTTAGCTCAGAAAACAGCTAACCTACCTTATTTATAACAGACCTCTAGTCAGAGGGGTAAAATTCTAATAGAAATAAGCTAACAAATTACACAAAGACGCTGTAACGATTGCTAGGTAGGCTCATTTCTAAGAAAACCAAAATGACATATCTGGAAAGAGTTAAGAATTTCCCGACATTCTAAAGATGTCAAGTCCGTTTCATAACTGAACCGGGTTCCTAACGCTGGAAGAGAGAACCCAACCTCGTCCCCAGGGCGCTTTTCCCTGGCTTTCCCTGGCGCCCCACCCCCAAAGCCAGGGAAAAGCGCCCTGGGGACGAGGTTGAAGCGAACCCACTCAGATAAATCGCTACTTCTAAATTCTAGTGAGCACCCACCCATTCAATGGTGTGTCAGTTTACGTTTGAAAAAAAAAAAAAAAAAAAAAAAAAAAAAAAAAAAAAA